TTTCCTTAAGTTATGTAAGCGTCCCAGGACAGGTTACTTGGACAGACTTTGTAAGCGCGCCAGGCTGAATCTCTTAAGGCCGTAGATTTTCTGGTACGGCTTCTCAGGAACGCATCCACTTGCTTCGGGCGAAGGACCTTGCTGTCTGACGCATTTGCCACTAACTCAGTGAATTGGGTGACGAACAACAACAGGCGACATCGGGCGGCTTCTCGGCCAGGAAGGACCAGTCGGTTTCTTGAACGACATTGGTTTACATGTTGTTCTCACTGATTTACTCTGAGTAACAGATGTAACGAAAGAAAAACAGCGCGTGATCGCTACGGCCAATTGATGCATCTATGGTCACTCATTTGTCGACCCTTAGTTCCTCGTTGGAGAGAACAAGTTCCAAAACAGACGGTGTGTCACCCGTTCGGAATTGCGTGGTAGAGGTGACATGGTTGTACAGAGGTACATCGGCGATCACTTCTTGCAAATCCATCTTGAACTGTTCGCAGTGCGATGCTGGAACATTGATTACGTGTAGGTTGATGTCCCCACCAGAAGGACGTGACTGTATGGTCGTGCCAGGACTCGTTTCATCGTAGAAGCTAGGCATTGATCCATTTCCAAGGTGGACGTTGGAGGGCGGTAAATTATTGCTAGTAAACACACATCACCACGTCTTATGTGCATACGACACCAAAGAGAATCGACGACTTTCGTTTCTGTGTCCTCAATGACATCAACATGCAGGTCGGATCGATCATACAGGAGCACTCCCCTCCTCTGCTAGGTCGATAGTTTCGTGCGGAAATCATGCCGGGTAGTCTAATCTCAGCATCCGTGATCTCCGTGTTCAGCCATGTTTCGGTAACCATAACTAGGTCCCAAGACATGGAGACCTGACGAATACGAAGTTCGGTTAGCTTGCAGAGAAGACTTTGCGTATTGATTTACAAGCAGGTGAGGGCATCGATGATCAGAAGCATGTTTGTGAATGCTGGTTTCTGGTGATTATCTATGCCGACACTTGCGAGGTTGGCTGCCGGGCGTTTGTTGTAGGACCGATGACGCAAGGCCTAGGGCCAGTTCAGGTTGTTGTATAGAATTCTCAGCCCCAACAAGATGGTGACATCCTGTCCTCCTTCAGCTGTCGATGTGTTTTGTTATTGTTTCCGTTCTGAGCTACACGGCAATAGAATTGGATTGGTAAGTTGTTTGCTCAGTGTTACATTCTCTATCTGTGGCCCGGTGCCTATTTCTTTTATACGTATTTCGGATGGCAGCACTTTACGCTTTTTGTACCACCTTGATCACATATTCTGCCATCAGTTCAGAGTGCCATGATACTTCCATCACTCGGGGACAGCGGTGTCGAATTAACGGTGAGTTTTCGAGTGAGAACACTTCACGAATAAAACACCATTCATCCCAGTCATGCGCTTTGAGCTCTAGCACGCTTAGTGATTGGAGCTTGGGGACACCGTGAACAAGGAGAGATTTTGCGTCTTGTTGTTTACGAAGTCATCCGGATTTTGTTTACGTTCCTGGCGTTCGCTCCAAGGAACATCTGGAAATATTCGAACAGTGCATGTGGTAGTGTGGAGGCGAGTGGGTGACAAGAGAACGGCCTCTGCATCAGTACCTGACTGAAATGTTACCTATTAGTTGACACAGGGAGTCCCACTGCTCATTGTCGTCTAGTATCTTCTCTTTTATCTAGTTCCCCCGGATCCAGTCAAATTAGAGCATATAACTTAGAGAATTATAGTAGTGTAGTGGCTTGCCGAACAACCTCCTCGTGGTGCCAGCTGGGTGGTTCGGGATTTACCCGTTCCAGCAAATGGTTCGGCGGCAGTGTTCCAGGACGTGGTGGGTTTTCGCCTGGCAAGCGTTCTCCCTATAAAAAGCTACATATGTCCGTTTAACAACACTGTGACGTGACGGATGTGACTCGCCACTAAATAAAGTCACTGCCCCTTGCTTCATTCTGGCGAAGCATTGTATTCCAGCAACCTTATGCTGTACTTCTGGGGAGCATTGGGCCCCTGTTTGACAAAGGAACAAACGAAAGGCGTATGAACTGAGAAATCAGTCACCGGCTCCCAATGGGCGCGATTCCCTGAATTCGCTCCGCTGCCTTGCGGGCAGGCTATTCAGCCAAAGGCTCGGGGTGGTGTCCCCTAAGTCAACACCTTACTTCGGCTTGGGCAACCGGGTAGTATCTCGCCCTTTGAGGAAACCATGGACATTGTTGTGTTGTGTTTTATTTTACTGTTTCTGTACCTTCGTTTGAAGCCCATGGTTTCTGATGGCATTAGGTCTGTTAGCAGACTTTTGCAAATATATATATATATATATTGTTCTCCTTTTTGGAGGGACCAGTGGCTGCTTTCCTCGGTTGGACAAATGATGGGGTCTTGAGTCCCATGATGGCACTGGCAGTATTAACTGATTTGACAGCGGGCGGGTCTGCAACGGGAGGTGCCTCCGACATAGGGTTAGCAACAACGGATGCGTAGTTTGTCGAGCCTTTAACAGTGTTTACTGTGGCGGGTGATTCTGTTGAGGAATGTGTGGCGAACGCATCTTTTTGAGCAGACGCTAGTGTTGCGGTTGCTAACGCTGTGTAGCTACGGACTTTTTCATGGGCTAGGCAACGGTTTCTTATCCCAATTGGACTTCGTCAGAGCAAAATTGACTGGGGTTCCTGCACTAAATAATGTACAAGTGACGTTGGATTGTCATGTCAGCAAAAATACATCGTAGCTTCAGTTGCTGTAGCTATCCAGGTAATATGCTTTATGTCATAACTTTTAAGTTATATGTCATGATTTTCTGAATAAACGTCTTTTTTAGGCTTCAGTCAAAAGTACGTATTCTATCTTCCTTAGCACGTTACTATTCAAGTGACATACTGTACAATAATTCAGTGTTTGTTTTGCTTTTGTGAAAATGGCAATATCGGTTAGTTGTGCACCCCGCTTTATTTCCTACATCTGACATATACTGATGGTGGGCAATAAAGAGGGTTCGATTGTATAACTACCTCGCATCTTGAATGGCTGCAATCATCCTTTACAAAAGGAATGCTAGGTCACTTCTAACTAATTAGGAGCGGTGCTCTTAAATAGGCCGTGCCGTTGTCACTGAACATCCTTTTTATAATATCGCTATGGATCCAGTAGTTTTCCCAGAATATTTAAACATTGATATTCGTCAAGCTATTTTCAAGGTCGGCGCCATTGTCCCTCGCGTAATCTTTAGAAAATTGCAAGATACTGCGCAGGAGAAGGTGGACGGTCCCGATTGAAAATCTAGCTTGCAACACTAGCTTTAAATTATTTTCTCTAGAACTGTTTAATTGTTGCTGTTTTACACTGATTGTTTATTCAAGTGACACTTCTACACAGTGTCCTTTTATCCATTCCTGCAAATTTAGTTCTGATAATGTAATTTTAGCTCATCCATTGTCGATATTGTAAAGTGCTGAAAATGTACCCATCTGGATACATAAAGTTTATTTTGTCTGTCTGTCTTATCTGTCTGTCTATCTGAACTAACCATTAATGAGTGGCCAACACAAACAAAATTTGAAAAACAATTCTTTCCTTACTTTGGTGAAATACGAATTGTCAGATGCTGTCAACTAGAATGCTTCATTCGGTATACTTTCTTCAATGTCATTGATTACAACTTAGATGACCGTCTGCTCAGTAACGACTGATAAACTACAACAGTGACAGGTCGATGAATATTGGTGGCCGGTTACTAGACAAGTATTTTCGCACAAAGATGGTGGTTCATCACTTTTGATGGTATCAACACTCGATTCAATGCGCAATGCACGTTGATTGTCGATATTTATATTCGCGTCAGCGACAACAAAAAATATTTCTATGTTTTTACTGCTTTGGGGAGACCAAATAGTCACGGTAACCAAACCAATGTCACTGAGACCGCAAATAGTAATTATGCGAGCGAATGGTGGAGGGTGAGGACTTAGGAGTCATACGTATGTGCAGGACACTAATTAGAAGTTAGGGGTGTTTGTCAATAAAACTTCATAAGCATAAATTTTAAGCTCCCTGTTTTGCTATTTTGAAATGCGCTTGGAATCCAGCAGCAAGTTGTTATTCCAGACAGCTCTGTGAACAACCGGTTAAGATATTTGCTGGGCAAGGTTTCTTCCCTAACACAAAAGCTTATTCGTACAAAGTGGACTCGCTTACACTTATTTGACACCTTGTACCAACTATTTGTAAGTCCCATACAGAGAACAAACAAAGTGCAATTCATAGGTTAAAGGTTATATCAGTCAGACATCAATAGGCGCATTTTTGTATGCCACTCAATTCTAGGCTTGTTCACTTTGCCTGAAGAAGCTACGGTGTTAAATTTCAAAAGGTTGCCCAACAAATACATTAATTGCGTGTTCTCAAAGCCTTCTGAAAGCAAACTTCCAGTTGTTGTGGCTGGAAAAGTAAACAGCGAATCCAGCGGTTCGTTTTTGCAAGCTGTGCTTGCTCATCGGATAGTGACATAATAATCAATCGCGCTGACACACATCGCTTTTGCTTAGACTGCCATAAGACCAGGATGAATGCTAAGCTTTGCCGATTGATGACTGCGTTTCACAAGCAGTTTGGTACTTGTTTACCATCAGCAAGTTGAGATAACAAGACTTCAAATCGAACCCCGAGGCTTTGTGTATGTCAAGCGAAACCTCTACCCCTAAGACAAGGAGTCACGACGGACAACTCTTGTCACAGCGGTTAAAGACCGGAGAGAGGGGTCATTCTGTGAATGGATTGCGGCACGCAACTTCAATATGCACTGCGATTCGCACTGAAGTGAACGTTGGTCAATTCGACCACTGAGACCGTACCTGATGAAGCCGATGGATAGTTTGTGCTGGTTGCTAATTAAGATGTGAGGAGGCGGGGTAGAATGCTGTATGCCAACTCAAGTTCAACAGCAGTTTCTGGCTGTGTCCGCTTCTCCAACAAACTTACGCACTTCCCACTTCCAATCCGAACGGAGCTTTGTCTTCCTCTTGGACGTTATAGGCTGCAATACACTCCTTGATTTCTGTCTGGAAATCCGAAGGGACCACACACGAGCTACCAGACATCCGCAGTTGACGCAAGCGAATCAGCCCGACCAGATGATTATCGTACTGAACAGACATGTGATCCGCGTCCGTCCACGCAAGCTGCCCGTTATACCAATGTCGAGCGTAGACAGCACTCATAAACGGGCCGCGAATAACCTGCACAATTTGGAAGAGGACAGTTTTAGTTTAGTACTTCAATAGGTTGGACACAATGATGCATTCATATATAATACAGCGGGTGATTAGTTTTGCGATTGCATCCTTCAGTAGTGAGAAAGAATACCACCTCACAATGGCTCAATGCTGTTACTTCATTTCCGACTGATGCCCATTCCATGATATTGGTCAATATTCAAAGTATGTGTAGTTTGACACAGAATAACTAGTAATTTGGCAGTTCTAGCTTCTGTTAGGTTAAAACCGAACCGTCTTTCCACACACATGACACCTGGTTGGCAGCATCCGGTTCGGGATTTGCTTGTTAGTGCGGCCTGCAAAACACAATCACAGGGCGCCCACACATGCAGAGAGGCCATGGTTGGCTTGTGCTGCACCACCCACAGCTCCATCCGCACACCCCATATACAGTGCAAACCCGAATAAGACAGGGAGGCACGTGGATGGGAACCATGTTTCATCAACAGAACCTGACCGCACTCTTTCAACATGCACAGCCGCATCATTTCTGCCTCTCTATGTAAGGAGTCATATATACCAGACGTATACGATGCGGTGTCTTGGCTGTAGCTCGCTCCACATTGGATAGAACCATGCTTTGAAGCTAGCAGGGTCATAAGGGCCTTTCTCCGCGTCTCCCGAAGCAACGGCCAACTGCATCCTGGAGCAAGTTTAATCGAAATAGCTGTCTTCCGACAGATAGACACCTTGTCATCATTCACATCAAGCACTACCACGCTGGGGATATCAATCGGCAGCCAACACCTGGAATGTAAGAAACTCTACAATCATGCACGTGCACAGAACAACTGTAGTAATGATGTCGGACACCTCTACCACGTTGACCGCATAAATGGTTCGGGTTAATAAATTGAATCGATTGAGACTTGACTAGTGTCGAGATGCCCATCCCATGTGACTACAAATAGTTACATGACACCGGCACCTGCACAGGGAAAGTTAGTCGTCTCCACTTGCATACTTACAGCTCTTTTCACACACCTCGTATCCATTGTATGATGTATGTTGATGTTACATACATCATGCTTCTTCACCGCATTTGGGCTAAACCGAGATACACTTAAACCAGAGCTCGTTAGCCTGTATAAAAGTATTCCATTATATTTAAAGTGCTCAATTTTATTGTTCTGTAGCGTATTCCTTATCAGTTGGCGTGTTTCTTTTCCTTCAAATTCTGTGTTGGTTGTTTGATATCCCCTGTGCAGCTGCGCTTGAGGTGAATGTTGGCAAGATACCTACCTGTTTAACACCCACCACCTCGATTATACTGGTTCCAGGAGACACTCAATCTTTGACTGTGGAGACGGGATTCGCGGTCCTCATGCTCGTGCTATGCTCAAAGACTGTTCCATCCAGTGTGAAGCGGAATACGGCTCAACCACCGTCTTGTGTACGTCTAGTACGAAAGATACACTAAGTTGATAAACATAAAGGTTGTTGCTATGTATGTTGAAGGTGTGTGGGTCGGCTCTGTTGATGAAACGTGGCTCCCATCCATATGCTTCCCTGGCTTATTCCTTCGGGTTTACACTGGATATTGGGTGTGTGAATGGAGCTGTGGGTGGCGCAGCGCGAGCCACCCATGGTCCCTCTGTAGGCTAACGCGACCAGTGGAAGACCCTATGGATACCTCGTTTACAGGCATTTGCGGAACCGGATGTTGCCAATCACTAGCAACAGTCTCACGAAGATGCCAAGCGTCAACAACCCTGGAAATCGACGGAAGAAGACAGGCTGCATCGCCGCATCATCATTACAGTGTCTTAGCTGATGGCGAGCTAAGCACTTCAGCCATTGTGCCACAAGGAAAACGGTCCATTATTTGTAATTTTGCAGTGTATTCTGTATTTTCTTCATTTTTCAAATGTTAGGCATTGAACATCTGAAAGTTAACAAGTACATACACACTCATCTTCCAATGGTTCCGATTGCGCGCCATTTTCTGTAGTGTTTCCATTCGCTATTACTCTTATCCTTTGTGCCCCCACAATGCAGGCGTGTGAATCCAACGCCAGCAATATATGAATCCACCATTTCATATGTTGTCGCCATGTGGACGTCTGACTAGTGCGTGGTACCTCCCAGCCAAGCCCTGCGCAAGCGAAAAGGGCGCATTGGGGTAGTCGCTCAGCTGATATGCGCAGGACGTGACCAAGCCATCTTGGTTGACAGAGCAAAACTCGCCTGTTGACGAGAATACGCGCGTTTCCTAAGACATAATATCTGACTTAAGGGTTGCAAATACGTTGTTTCCGCCACACAAGAGCAATCTTCGTCAAGCACCCAGAGTCGAAGATGGAGAGCCGGAGCACATCACCCACCCGAACTGACTTGGACCTACAAGCATTCCCGCAACATGCACAGCACTGAAGCAAAACACAGGGAAATACGTCTGCCAAGTAAACAGTTGTCCTTGGCTTGACGGCATGCTTCTGTCCGAGCATAGCACCATTGTTCACTTTCACAGCAAGGATTGCAAATCCCCTAGACGTTTTAAGTGAGGTGGCAGTGCCAGACGTGTTTGCACGCTGTCGATTTGTATGCAGATCACTCAGCGATGACACTGAGTATCAGTTTTGAGCCTGGGTGAAGATACGGTAGAAAAAACGCATCCTTAGTGTCTGCATCAACGCTCACTCAACATTCGCCACAATACGGTACTACTGGTACGAGTACTAAAATGAAACGTTGAACAATGATGCCAAACAGTCCTCATTAAACCGTTATAAATAACCCGCAATCAGATGAGAAGTATGAATTAAAGTAGCCGTGGGACAATTAGCAAAACCAAGTTATAGTCCGAAGGAGCTAATCTGCTTTCGACTGTCACAGTAGAGCTGAGTTGAGTCTTAAAGGCAGGACGTAGAGGCTGCTGACTGGTTTCTTTATTTCTACGCCACCGGGTCACGGGCAATGTTTGTCAGAATGCTGGGTGGCCTATGGTTCTGCTATTGAAGGGCACCCGCTGCGTGCGCCCATTGCACTTACACTGCGCTAACGCACTCACTTGTAATTACTGCACATGTCAGCTAATCTCAGTGGTACTGTATTCGCCTTGCCCGTTAAGGGGCTCGCATAAAATTCTAATGCTTTTTCTCGCTGGACGACTTGTGGCTTAGATTTTGGATAATCCAATTGTATGCCGCTCGTCTCGCACCGCATTCAAGTGATTCTTCAGCACTAGCAAGGACAGGTGGTTGCTGGTATTCGTCACTACGACATTGTGTTCAAAAAATTCAAAATGTTAACGGTGGACTCGGACTTCGTGCAACTTGCCTCTCTAGTCATGTACACGCAATGTGCGTTGCGGTCGCACTAATTTGGCTCTGTTACACTTTGTCTAACTGTACAAACACATTTCGTCTCACAGTTGAGCGCAAATGCTCATTCGATTCAGCCAAGCGAGTGCTTTTAATCGCACTTAAACACCTGGATATACACCTTACCGTTCTTCTTCCTTGATCTACTTACAATTTGAGTGGTTTCCAGGAAAACTCGTACGCGCGAAAATTCATTACCTGCGCGATCAACAAGGCTACTTTTAGCCACATTTTCAAGAGCATTCTGAGGGCTCTCTAATAAGCCCACATTCACCTCAATCGGCTGCTGCGTAAAGAAGATATTGAAGAAAATTACCACCACTTATACGGTCACAGCTGAACCGCTAAAACCCGTACGAGGCCAACTTCGCACAAAACCCACCCAAATCACGCGTTTGCCGCAACCCGATCAATAAGGACGCGCAAACCCCGCGCGTACACCGTGTCCACCTGTGACTCATCGCGTTGTCAACATTGGGCTGTGCGGCTGAACCCAACACGTGACCTGAAAGCGGTAAGCCCTAACTGCATGTGTTTTGTGTCCACATAGCCAGGGCCCATTCTCCTTAGTGCTTCCATATTCGGTTCCGAATTAGTTATCTCGCATCGCTGCACGCTACTCGTCCTTGTTTCAAACCCGTCTCTTAAGCACGCTTTTCCGTAACCCTGTCATTGACGGGAACTAGTTACTATGACTCCAACACGATATAATCGCTCGAGACAAGCGAAAGTTAGCGTACCGGCCCCTCCGCGAGTAACGCGAGTAAAAAGTAAAGCACAGAGAGGAAAACAAGACACTGCCCCCACAGTTGCCAGCCTCATTGAACAAATGAATGATAAGATTAAATCACTTGAACTTCAACTAACTGAAATGAAACTAACGCTTGACTATATCGGACCGCTTAAAGACCATATTGCCTCTTTAGATTATATCTGCAACCCATCAGGAAAACTAAATCCGGCTCAAATGAAGAGAGTAAGGCAGCTTATCTCCTGTATCGCGTCTGAGGCTCATGAACGAACGCGTAGGTTAAAAAATGCTATAGTTTTCAATATCCCTGATAAACTTAATTTGGCTAAAGTAAGAGCTACATTGATGAACGCTTGCAACATGACTAACGTCGAATGCAAATGTCTACGACTAAATAAGAAGACACCGAAACGGTGTTGCCCCATACTTTTTAAGTTTTCTCTCGAAGAACATGCACACCATTTCATGCAGAGCCAGCTCGCCATAACCCAGCATACTCCATTCAAAGACGTACTGGTTAAACCTGATCGGACACCTTTGGAAAGATCTCCTTCTGATCCTACTCCACGAACACCAAGAGCAGAGACAACATGCAGTCCGACTCTTCAGTTAATAACTCGGGATGATGGTATACTAGATAGAACAACTAGCTGTGTCGAAGTAGACAACGACAATGCATCTCCTGGTGTGGTAACATCAATAGCCTTTGCTTCTGGCTCCGGCACAACGCCCCAGTCAAGATCAGTGAAAAAATCTTTCACCTCTAACACCGAGGCTAGCTTGCAAATGGAATCGGATACCCCCTATATCGCACCTATGGCGAGACCTCAGCCTGGTGAACATTCAGTAAGCAAGGGCCCGAATACCAAGAAAAGAACCAGTCGTAA